GGCAAGATAGGCTTAGAACCAGAGTTTGGAGTTTATAATGTGAACCTTGTATGATGACCATCAGCATAATAAAATATAACTTTTATTATACTAACTATACATATCTACTTTCTTGCTCACAAATCTTAGGATCACTTTCCTATGATTGATGATTAGATGTAAGTCTGCATCAGAGTGAGAAAAGTAAAACTTTTCCAAACCAAATGCAAGGTAACATATTTTAAAAGAAACAATGTATGATTTCTATTATACACCTAAAGCAACTTGTTTTTCTCTAATTACTTTATATGTCACAAGAACTTTTGAAAAGAAATTTATCCCCATTTTTATGTGTACGTTTGTATATTCAAGAGAATACCTTCCATTTGTGTACAGCTGACACACCAGAAAAGAGGCTATCAGATCCCCTGAAACTGGAGTAGCAGGGGGTCATGAGCATCCTGATTTAGGTGCTGGGATCTGAACTCAGGTCATCACCAAGAAGAATTTGTGCTGAGCAACCTACTAAGGCCCATAATACTTTTTATTCAATAATCTAAAAGACTTTCACAGATCAACAACAACAAAACTTAAATAAATAAAGTATATAAATGATCCTTGGGAACATGATGCAACAATATTAAGGTGTTGTTTATGGTCAATTTGCACAATAAATACAATCCAAAGACAATGTCCAACAATTTATAACAGGAAAGCTGATTCTAAAGCTACAAGCAAAATGGAAAAACTCAGAATGCTCAACGGATTATGAAAAAAATAGTACACATATACAATTGATACAATGTGACTTCTATCTTTACCACAAAAGCTACAATAATCAGGAATGTATACAATGTTTGTGAAAGAATAAAGAGGACAGAGAGAAAGAGCCAAGAACAAAAGCAGGAAAATAGAGTCAACTTTTAATCAAAAGATCAAAGGAAACTCAACCAGGAAAAGTGTGATCTTAATTGGTGTACCCAGTCACCTATGTGTATAGAAATTATATAAAGACAGATTTCACAAAATTAACTCAAAGTGACCCTTAAACTGTTAACTTTCTGACCCTCCAGCTACTGATACTTCTTCTGGAGAGGTCCAATGTTCTAGAGCCCTCCCTGCAAATGGAGGTGATTTCTTCTAGAGCCTACTATTATGGCTCTACAGCCTCTCATGCTGCCTTGTGGTTTCAGGGAAACCCAGGCCCAATGATACCCAATCATAAAACAATGTTGAACAATAATTTAATGTCTGCTTCCTGCCATATGGATTATGTCACAAGATGTGACATGTGCCCTATCCATCTGCACAACACCATACAAACCTGAGCTATCTCTATAGCTCAGAAATTCCTTTTGTGAGCTGTGAAGTTCACTGAATCACACTATGATTGCTAGCAGCAGCAAAAAGTTGAAAACATTTTAATCATGTATTGCTGAAGGATGATGCCCATCCTCTCCTTTCTACCAGTTTCTAAATTATCTGTAACATTTGTAAGACAAACCTGAAAGTAGAATGAAACAATCAGAACTTCTAAAAACCAGATCTTCACTTTTCCAATCTGTCTTCCCATTGCACAACAAAAGCAATGCCTGTGTGTGCACACTGGACAGTGATATTAGAAGCTCACAGTCTCCCATGCCAGGATGGCAGAGCCTCCCCCTCCCCAGGGAATCCACATTTAACAAAGCTCAGAGGCCAAGGGCCACTGCCCAGGTCACCACAGGGACCAATAGAACTTCAGTCTGGCTCATGGTCCATCCCAGTCCAAGCAGTTCAGATTCGAATAGTTCAGCTAACCTGATCTTCCTGGTCTGGGGACAGTGGCCCCAACACTCACCATGGCCTGGCTTGCAGCCCCCTATAGCAGAACAAGAGAAGAATCCTGGAAAGAACCTGTAAGCTTCCTCCCACTGGTGCTCCTGATAGCTAAGCCTTCCCAAAGCTCCTCATTAGTTTAGACCACCAAACTGAGCTTAAGGACATGAGCAATTACCCTACTGGGTGAGCAGAGGTCAAATGACTCAGACAGCACAGGCCCTCCCAGCTTTGCCCTTCCACACTATGGTCAGACAGGGCCCTAATCTGGGAAAATTGTAGTTTACTGAAATTGTCCAATCTCCTAGAGCACTTCTTGTTCCTCTTCCAAGGCACAGGGTCCATAACACACTCAATGTCTAGTGCAGACAACCTTTTGCTTCATAGCTAGGAGGTCCTGCAACCAAACACAGGTCACATCCAAAGAGTAACTGTTGTTAAACGAAGAGGCCATGAATTAGAATGCAAGGAAGGGTCTATGGGAGGGCTTGGAGGCAGGAAAGAGATAGTAGAAATAATATAATTATAATCCCAAAAAATTCTGTTAAAAAGTTGAAACAGGCTTTATAGCCATATATGCTCCAGAGACTAGGGATTTGTATTAGAACACACCAAGTACTACTCATGTCATTTCTCTCAGGGTATACATCTTAAACCTGGAAAACACCAGTCATGCTAGGCAGAGCCATACCATTTTATCTAGTTCTTCTATTTAGGTTAAACTGCTGTAACTACAGTAATTTATTGATCATTTAAAATTGATTACCTCACTACTCATTGCTAATGTCAACTACTGTCAAAACAGGAAAGCTTTTACCCTCTTTCTTGCCCATCCTTTTCTGCATTGTGACTACACCTGCTTTACAGTTGGTCAGTGAACTCAACTCATACACAGGTCCCACTTCATTTATAAATTCATGATAAAATCTAGAGAAGTTGGAGGATATTCATTCACTGGTCTATTTTTCCTTCTCACAGACCAGTCAAGGCCCAGCCTGGAAGGAGTTGCAGGACTGTCTTTCCAGCACTGGGTAGCAGAGGCAGGATTAGGTGTTCAAAGCAATTCTCAATTATATAGTGTGAGGCAAGCCTGAGCTACAGGAGACATTGATCAAAACTAGTGGTTCTCAACCTTCCTAATGCTGTGACCCTTTAATACAGTTCCTCATGATGTGATGACCCCCCAAGCATAAAACTATTTTCACTGTCACTTTATAACTATAATTTTGCTGTTATGAAATGTAATATAAATATCTGTGTTTCCCAGTGTTCTTAGGTCAGTCCTGTGATAGGATCATTTGCTCTCCCAAAAGGGAGCCATGACCCCCACGTTGAGAACCACTGCTCTAAACTGACATAAATAAATACCACTTAAGAAAAAATGTAATGAAATTCTTAAACTAGGAAACATTAGAAAAAAGAAACAAAGATTATAGCAGTAATGCATTTAAAGAAAATGAAATTTAAAAAAAAATGATACCAATAATTGAATTTTTAAAATTATAAAAATAATTGGAGGACGTTTAGCTATACTGACTTTGAAACACAGTAGGCAGTCCCCTGGTAGGGTGACTGCCATTAATAACAGACTGTATGACTTTGTCCCATGTAAAATGTTAGCCACGGAGTGCTGTAAGCTGAAACATGGAGTTATAGTCGGTGATCTGTGTCTGAAACCTCTGAGCTGACATAACTGTGTAAACCAGGATAGCACATATCTACATAGGAGAGTTCGATAATTGGAAACTGAATACCGAGTAGTTCAAGCTATCCTCCCAAAACTGTACACCCACCAATTCTGTCTGTCTTCATTCACACGGAAGGAATTAATGCATGATGGGAAATTAGATAGAAAGTCACTCACCATGTCCCATCCTTCTTTGTAATGGAGAGGCCTGCAGCTCACTGCCTTTAACTTCAGTCTGGGATCTAGCTATTGTCTAGTCTGTTTCCCCCTGTACTGTACACAGTACACTGTTCCTCTCCTCTTCTGTTCTGAAGGGAGAAGCCATGCTCCACACACAAATCCTTTCCCTGTTCTGCAATGGACAGTCCACTATGTGACTCAAACTGACAATTTTAGAACTCTGTGGTGATGTAGATGTATAATCCAAGAATTTAGGGTGGTTAGTCAGGAGGATAGCAAGGTCAATGCCCTGTGGGGCCACAAGCAGGGTTCAAGTCCACGTCAATAACACAGAAGACCTTGACTCAAAACTGCTTTTCAAAAAGACTGGAGACGCAGCTGTTCTATAATTAATATACCTTCATGGCACAACAGGACTTAATGTTGGTTGTGACCCTGTAACGATCCCTTGAGCACCATGCTAGAGGCCTTTGATGAAGATGTGAGCCTTTTGGCTGGCTGTAAATCAGGGCTGTCTCATTTGTTATGGGAATGTAGCTTAATGGCTGATTAATCCTGGTGAACATTTACATCTTATCATACTAATCTCTAATAGGCATGCCCTTCCTTACCTAAATTCTACTTTATGTGACTTAATGTCTCCTAAGAACTGATAAATCCTTATATCATCAATTCTACTACCATCAACTCTACTCTTCTACATCACAGTTTAACAGTGGAGTGCTAATCTACACAGGAGATACCGTTTACAAGCTCCACAAAATTAACTCCAGATGGATCCTAAACCTAAATGTTAAGTGTTAAAAGAGTTAAAGAGTTAAAGTGTTAAAGAGACCAGTACTCTCCGAGTTTGGCAAATCTGGTGATGTCTCTCCACATGTGACAATGTAAGTACTGCAGGCACCAGCTTTTCACAGTGATGTTAACAAGGATATTTCTAAGCATAGTTCTGCTCCCAACACTCTGCACAGACACAGCCTGGGGAGTGAAGTTATTCAAAGGCTGCCAGTGCGGCCCAGGGACTTGCAAAGACCACATAGGAACACGCTAGACCAGGCAGAACCAGGCAGGACCACGCCGAACTCTGTGTCTGGCCACTGGCTCCCAACTAGCCAAGGGAGGACCCACCACACCAGATCCCGAGCCTCAGCTGGCCGTTCTACCTAGTCTAGGGACAGTTGCCCCTCGCTCACCAAGACCAGTCACTCCTCCCTACATGGGGACAGCAGCCCCCTGCTCACCATGGCCTGCCACTCCTTCCTGCCTGGGGACAGCGGCCCCTCACTCACTGAGGCGGGCTACTCCTCCGCCCTGGGGACAGCGGGCCCTCACGCACCTTGGCCCACTGCTCCTCTCCGTCTGTGGAAAGCAACCTCTCGCTCACCATGTTGCAGCTGCTGAGCTGACCCACTGTCTCCCCACAACGGAGTGCGAGGCACAGCACACAGCACAACATTCGACTTCCTCAGAAGAGGGAGAGCTGGGCCAGGAAGCCTGACTCCCGGAAGAACACTCCCATTTGACTGGCAGGTCCGCTGGAGGCTCTGATTGGCTAGTGAGGTCTGAGTGACAGGACCAGGTTAGCTGAAGGGTCACAGCACAGTGGTTCCCCTGCCCTGGCTTCCAAACTAAGGACAGACCTATGCCAGATTGGATGGAGATTTGTGCCAAATTGAACACCAAGTCTCTTGTTAATGTGAATCAGTGGGTTCAGTTTTAAAAGGATGTATACAAATTCAGAAGGAGGCTAATCGAACAAGAGGAACACTGGGAATTCAAGAACATTATAAACAAAGTCCACAGTGGCACAGTGGCGTTGGGACTGAAAACCACAGCCCCATCATGATCTGAAGCAACCCCTTCCCAAAGGCCCTGGCCCCAGATCATTGCCAGCTCCTCCAAAGCATATTCCTGGTATTAGAGACAGAGCTCTGTTTTTGCTCTTTACATCAGAGTCCTAGAGAAATCTCCCAAAGCCTAGGCAGGTTGCCAAGCTCAGAGAAGCCTAGTTTCAAGTATCCTCTAGAAGTTCTGCACTTTGCGTTTGACATTTAGGTGTAAGATCCATTTGGAGTTAATTTGTGGAGGTTGTAAATGGCATCTCATGTACTGGGTAGCACTCTACTACTAAGCTGTAATGTAGAAGAGTAGAATTGGTGATATAAAAGATTGACGAATGCTTAGGAGATAGTAATTCACACAAAGTAGAACTTAGCTAAGGAAGAGCTGCCTCTAAAATGCCCCAAAGATAAGTAGTATGTTAACCAGGGCTGTCAGATATTTGGATGCTGGGATGTAAATGTTTATTCATCTTTTATGTATACTGTTATTGGTCACATGTCTGTAGTAAAAATAGCAAATGGGATGTTCATCCATGGAAAGGATAGAGAGACCCTCTGTGTAAAGATCTCTCTGTAGTAAGCTGGGGCATCATAGTTTTAAGAGGGATTTCTTAGTTGTATTGTACTGGATGCTGTAGACATCAATTCCATGATGTTTTGTTATGTATTTGCTGTTTCTTGGTATCAATTATGTACTTGAATTAAAATCCAAAAGCATAGTTATAGTAGTGATGCCATGTATTACATGAAGACCATCTTATATATTCTCTAAGGTTTAGTTTAATAGATTGTATCTAGGAAATATTAATTTAATACATATATACACAGTTTCTATTTAGCATTCTTTTATTTCATTATTGTTACTCAGAATTATCTTAAGACAAACAATTGGTACCTTCCTATGATCAGCTGTGCCTGCTTACAAAGGATGACCACCACCAGGTTTGCTGACTGTTGATATTCCATCATGAAAAAAGGTATTCCCTCCTTTTGAGTATACAGCCTCTTTTCTAGGCAACTGTATGCAGTACAGCCATAATGACATGTAGTTTTAGGGAAGAGCTAGAGTATATAGCCTGGAAAAGACTTGAGAGGAGGTGGATTCTGTGCATGCACCTATGAGAAAGCCATCTTTAAAATCTGGAATTTACCTTGAGTGCTATCAGGCTTACTTTCTATGTCCACTAAAAAATGTAATGTAATGGAGTGTGTATTGGCAGTAGAAAATTAGAGAGAAAGTGAGCTCCATATATGTAGCTATGGGAGAGCCATTGTACATACTGGGTAGACATTCCTGTGTGGATGCTTTTGGGTATCTTAGTTAGAGTTTCTATTGCTGTGAAGAGACACCATGACTACAGCAACACTTATAAAGGAAAACATTTCATTGGGGCTGGCTTACAGTTTCAGAGGGTTTAATTCATTATCATCATGGCAGGAAGCATGGTGGTGTGCAGGCAAACATGGTGCTAGAAAAAAAGCTGAGAGTTGTACATCCAGAAAATCAGGCAGCAGAAAGTGACTGTGACACACTTCCTCCAACAAGGCCACATCTACTCCAACAATGCTGTACCTCCTTTAGTGCTATTCCCTATGGGAATTTGGAGGCCATTTTGATTCAAACCACCACAGTGTCCAAACCCTTGTAAGTATCTTTTCAACCATGCTCAGTAAGTAAGCTCAATAAACTCATTGGTTCCCCAGGATAAACTTTGGTGAAATTGTACTTGCATTGTCATTGGGACTTATGGGAATGAGATAGACATTGCTTCCTTCCCCTCCATGGGAGAGAAAATTTCCACAACAGCTCATAAACGTATTTGTTAATGTTCCTATGTCTTAGAAAAAGGAAGTAGTACACAAAAGAACATGTTAGAATAATATAAATGTGTAAATAACCTTAGTAAAGAAGGATGTAGATATATGAAGATGATGATGACTGAATGCCTCCAGAATAAAGAAGACTGGAAAGGTTTTGCAAGTTATGAAGGGCTGAGTAATTTGTTTAAGGTACATAAAGGACGAGATTTAGAGATCATATATTTATTAAAGGGCAAGGTCAGATATCAACTATTTCAAGGACTGGCTAAAATGTTATGTCAAACAAAAGTTTATTGAGTTATGCCTGGCTATTGAAATATTATACAGTAGTTAAAAGCACCAAACTGGTATAAAGCTGATATTCTGGGTGTTTCATAATCATTTTTGGAGGCTATTCTAATGTGGTTAGGGGAACTAATGGGAGAATATTTCTCCCCTTTCCATACAAGGTCAATGAGGTCCCTGGGAACAAAAGCCATTGATCTCTTGTCCTGTTCATGGAGGCCATGGAGACCCCACTCAATGAATTTGAAACATTGTCAAGTCTACAAAAGGAGGATCAATATGGGAAATATTTCCTCAAGGCTTCAAAGGAAGCCACGGTGCATAAAGCAAAGCCTTTGACTTATCTTCACATTGATGGACAATTGGAAAAAGAACGGCTAGAAGAGTCTGAGGTTCCTCTCAAGCCTAAGTGACTAAGGGCTAGTTGCTCAACTGGCCTTAACAGCACAGAAAGAAAGATTAATTTTGGCCACCTGCATGGTCCTCATCACTAATCAGGAAAGTTTAACCAAAGACTAAGAGAATTGATAACAATCCAAGGGATCACATGCCACAGACATTAATTTTCATCTACATGAAATGTTATTTAGACAACCAATCGTGTTAATATTTTCTTCTTGATAACAAGATTCTGTCCAGATGTGAGATGTCTGATGTTGGCTCCCTGAGTACCTGCCCACAGCCAAGGAAGATAGGCCCATGATGGCTAAATACCTCTTCTCTCCCTATCCAGAAGCCACATGGGAATGACTTCCTGCTGACTTTTGGCTGGTGAAACAGCTATGAAAGGGTATGAAAGCTGACTGTGGTCTCAGCACTCTGGAGACCAACTGTAGAGGTTAAAAGGAAACATCTAATTGATGAGGGCTATTGTAAGCTCATCAAGAATGTCTTATGTAGTTTGCACATTTCAGTCCTTCCCAGACACCAGCAAAGGAATTCCTTTCGTATCTGCATTTGAGAATTTGGTCATTATGACAGGCCCTCTGGAAGGGTATCCCAATACAACTACTTCATACCCCAAATTCAGCTGGAAGAAACCAGATCAGTCATTGTCCCAATCCCATAATGGCAGTTAGGGTTACCTTTTCAGAGGGAGATGGAATAAGAACTGGAGGTAGAAATTCACTAGACAATTTAGGGTTAAAAAAACAAAACAAAACAAAACAAAAACCAAAGAAAAGTAAACAAATGCTTTCTTGACTAGAAGCCAGAGTGTCACTGGGACTCTTAGCAATTTCATCCTTGCCAGAGGCCAAAGATGGCAAAAGTGTTTTGGGAGCTCTGATCTCTGATGCTAAGTGATTCTAGGGACCTTAGGAAGTAGGAAAGTTAAAAGTAGTAATGAAGGCCTGTTAAAAGACCCTTGGTCAAGAAAACAGAATCTCTGTCCTGGCTATAGACCTAACATTTGAATGGGAACAGGTCAAAGAACCTGGTCTGGGAAACCAAGAAATGGCTACTCAGGACATTTATATACCACCTATAATTGATTAACTGATTGTCCATTGTTAATACCAACTAGAGACAAAACTAGAAAATTTTAAGGTTCCTTCCTACCCCTACTTTTCTGTACTGTGACCATAACAGGTTATAATGTGTGGACAATGAACTCCCATTCTTACACAAGCACCCCTGCATTGGCACTTGCTAATAAAAGCCTGGGCTGCATTAGGACACTCATTCCCGTCTCTTTTTCCTTCTTACTGACCAGTCAAGGCCCAACCTAGAATTACTGACACATTGGGCTTGAAGGCAGGAAAGAAATAGTGGAAATGACATAATTATAATCCCAAAAAACTAATTGGAAAGTTGAAACAGGTTTTATGACCATGTGCTCCAGAGACTAGGGATTTGTATTTAGAATAAGAATGGAACTCTGTTTAGGTCCTTTGATGAGTTATAACAGACTCAATGATAAAGGAAAACAATATTATTCATTGTTGGAACACAGTGGGCAATATTTGATAACAATTTTTTTAATGATTTATTTATTCTCATTTTATATGCATGGGTGTTTTGCATATATGTTTGTGTGGGGGTGTTAGATCCCCTGGAACTAGAGTTACAGTTGTGAACTGCCATGTGGGTGCTGGGAATTGAACCCAAGTCCTCTTGAAGAGCAGCCACTGCTCTTAACTGCTGAGCCATCTCTCCAGCCCCGATAACCATTCTTATTGTGTATAGTTTGCATTAAGATTAGAACCTTCTTATTTAGACAATATATGGCCCAAAGGAACCAGTGCTTCCTGCCATTGTACATGACCTCTTATAAGGAAATCCACCTGCCTGCGAGTTGTATTCACTCCCGGTCAGATCAGAGGATAACTTCAACTATTCTGTTCTGTATTCGTGAGTATATTTCCTCAATTTATATCTTAATAAATTCTGTTACCCATTTAGTAGACTCATGTGGATTGACAGTAATAATACTGTGTAAGCATAGGACCTGAGTTCAAATCCCCGGTACCTGTAAATAACAGCAGAGCATGGCAGAGCATATTTGCAAACTCTAGCTGGTGCCAGGTGATGGTGGCACATACCTTTAATTC